ATCCTGTATTATTTTTCGTGCAGAGAAAATTTATTTCATCTTCTCAGATGAATTGAATTATAATTGACGAATACCTGCCGTTGTTTCCCTACACTTTTTTCACTCCTGGCGAAGAGTTGTATTTTAAATGACAAAAGAAAGGAAAAAATGCTGAAGGAACCCTTTTCAACCGTAAACACTCAACTATTTGAATAAATAATCCGCGATCAGTTATCGATTCCCACAATGGCTACCGTCACAGCAAGTTGAATCCTTTCTCGGTTTTTAAAAAAAATAAAAACCACCCCTAGATGAATATTTGGAAATATTTAAGTGGATCTCTGATGTTTTTCGAGATAGAATTCCACGCCCAAAGGGAAAACTGTGAACCCTTGAGATTCACTGGCCGATGGGGGACTTGACCATAGGATAAAAATGAAAAGGGTTCTAATCTGCATCAAGTGGAGAAAGCCTCGACGCATCAAATTTCTCGTCTCTCGTCTCGCCCCTACAACCAAATTTTTTTCATTTAAATTTCTTCTCCACTTTGCTCATTGAAAAAAAGAGAAATCTACTCCAAGAATAAACAGAAAACGGAATACGTTGAGTTAACGAGAAGACGAAAATAAATTAGGGAAATGTGGAGGAACCGCTGTGGATTCTAATTATTGTTTGCTCTTTCTTTTTCGAGAAATCTCTTCTCGTCCTTCAATTCTTTCTCTCCCTGCGCGTATTCCGTTTTACACGCCCTCGACGAGATTAAATCCGCCTCTGCGATCCACCTCAGACGCCCTGATAAAATGATTCGAACGAAAGTAATCGAAATTATTTGTCTAGCTAAGGAGAAAAATCAATTGAATTCATTGCAAGATAAACTTTACCATTTCATTTGAAATTCCAATGACAGATCAATTTTGTAGACTCTTTCACGTCCAGGAATTCCATTCACAATCACTCGTTAAAGTCTATGCAATAACTAATGCAGAATAAATACGAAATCATCCAGAGAAATTATTTCTCAAATTAAACGGGGGAATTAAATGTCATCCCAACATGAATTAAATCAATCACCTGAAAATAGTTCATTTCTTGGCTCACTCAAATTTTCATGTATTCGTTGAAAAATTCATTCTATCCCCCACCATTTCAATAAATCCATTCAGTTTTTTCATCACCATATTTTTCTTTATCAAAGAAAATTAAGTTAGGATATTTTTTCAATACTATACTATAGCATGATGTAATAATTTTCTTTGCAAAAGACAACATCCTCCCATTTCCGTCGATTTCCGTCAACCGAGCAAACCCAAAAATAAATCCACCGACTTCGCCAAATTATCCTCCCCGAATTCAGACAATCAAAATGACGTGATTGCGTGAAATTCACTGCAACATTCCAATAAAAGAAAACCTATCCCCTGGTTTCGGTGGGCAAAAAAAAAACAGCAGGAGAATGAGTTTCTTTCTCGTAGGGATGGCAGAAAAGGGATGAGATGACTTCCTCCTCTCCACCCCACCGCACCCCGACAGTCTCCTGGGGTATAGTTACGTATACCACTCTCTCCTCTCGCTCGGGGATGATGAATATAAAGGCAGGACGAGCAGTTAGGGGTGGCTTCAACCCTCTCGCTTCTTCTTCAGTCCCTGGAAGGACTACCTTGAGATCAATACTTTTTTATGCGAGTCCGTAAGGGGTATAAACCCTGNGAAATCTACTCCAAGAATAAACAGAAAACGGAATACGTTGAGTTAACGAGAAGACGAAAATAAATTAGGGAAATGTGGAGGAACCGCTGTGGATTCTAATTATTGTTTGCTCTTTCTTTTTCGAGAAATCTCTTCTCGTCCTTCAATTCTTTCTCTCCCTGCGCGTATTCCGTTTTACACGCCCTCGACGAGATTAAATCCGCCTCTGCGATCCACCTCAGACGCCCTGATAAAATGATTCGAACGAAAGTAATCGAAATTATTTGTCTAGCTAAGGAGAAAAATCAATTGAATTCATTGCAAGATAAACTTTACCATTTCATTTGAAATTCCAATGACAGATCAATTTTGTAGACTCTTTCACGTCCAGGAATTCCATTCACAATCACTCGTTAAAGTCTATGCAATAACTAATGCAGAATAAATACGAAATCATCCAGAGAAATTATTTCTCAAATTAAACGGGGGAATTAAATGTCATCCCAACATGAATTAAATCAATCACCTGAAAATAGTTCATTTCTTGGCTCACTCAAATTTTCATGTATTCGTTGAAAAATTCATTCTATCCCCCACCATTTCAATAAATCCATTCAGTTTTTTCATCACCATATTTTTCTTTATCAAAGAAAATTAAGTTAGGATATTTTTTCAATACTATACTATAGCATGATGTAATAATTTTCTTTGCAAAAGACAACATCCTCCCATTTCCGTCGATTTCCGTCAACCGAGCAAACCCAAAAATAAATCCACCGACTTCGCCAAATTATCCTCCCCGAATTCAGACAATCAAAATGACGTGATTGCGTGAAATTCACTGCAACATTCCAATAAAAGAAAACCTATCCCCTGGTTTCGGTGGGCAAAAAAAAACAGCAGGAGAATGAGTTTCTTTCTCGTAGGGATGGCAGAAAAGGGATGAGATGACTTCCTCCTCTCCACCCCACCGCACCCCGACAGTCTCCTGGGGTATAGTTACGTATACCACTCTCTCCTCTCGCTCGGGGATGATGAATATAAAGGCAGGACGAGCAGTTAGGGGTGGCTTCAACCCTCTCGCTTCTTCTTCAGTCCCTGGAAGGACTACCTTGAGATCAATACTTTTTTATGCGAGTCCGTAAGGGGTATAAACCCTGGGTACACCGAGGTACCGTACTTTCGCCCCCCCCCCCCCCCCCCCCTCTCTCTCACTCTTTTTTGCCTCCTTCCACTCCACTTCCCCACATCTCTCTTATTCTCTCTACCGCCCTCCACGTGCCGTCGTAATCACGAATATCATTAAACTCTCGGCTTTCACGACCCGTTAAGGAGAACCGTCTTCTTTGAATTTTCCTTTATTTATTTTCCCTTTTCCCAAGTCAATGATATTTTTTTTCAGTGTTCTCTTTGCTCGAGAAATATTGAGTGGATAGTCGAAGTCATTAAGGACGAATAAGTACCTAATTATTTCGGTATTATTTGAGAAGGACATCGTTACTGTTTGACAAAGAATAAATTCGTTATCACAGGGGAGAGGGGGATAATGTGGTTTATGACGAGTGGAATTTATTGGATTTTTCATCGTTGAAGATATTCCTAGAAATCATTATTAAATCAGATGGAGAATATTTCATTTGGCTGCACGAGGCAGTTGCACGATATTTTTTCTCCCATCGAATTCACGTATTTTTCTCCAGCTCCGGTTGAAAATCGGCGAAAGCCCGAGTGCAGAGAAAAGCCGCTCACTTTGTGCCATAATACACTCCAGTTTTTGTCCTTGAATTTTCAGTTGAGAATACGTAACTCAAGGGGATGCATAAACCGTTCAGGGAAGGCCAGTGTGACCAATTTGCGAAACCGAAATTGGAGCAGAAAACATTGCCTCAATGTTCCTGTGATTTATAGTCGGGTCCAGGTAGACGTAGCAGTTGAAACTACAGTATTTCGAGAATTCTTGGTGAAAAAATTCTGAACAACATCTGACAAAATGTTGGCACCCATCATGTGGCAAAATATTTAATAAAAAATCTACACCGAGAAATGGAGAAAACCTATTCTAGTAATTACTAATAGAATAACATTGAGTCAAAAATGTAGAGTATTTTTCATTGGACCAACAATTCCGCCTGCAGGTAACCGGACAAACGCTCCACCCGAGGCCGGAGAGCACCGAAAACTCGAGTCCCACGGTTTACGTTCGAAGGGAAGGATGTTTCACAGTCGTAAATCTACGAGTTAGCCAAAACTGGAGCAAAATTTTTCAATGGCTTTACGGCGTTACCCTACGGGGTCCCCCCCAAATAGTGGGTGCGATAAACATTTTCAGTACACACCATCCCCACATTTTTTTTCCTCCCCTCTCTGTCCCTCCCGCTGCCCGGAGGGGTGTCTCGCTGCAGAGTTCGCGCCTTGGTGATCGGTGAAAGTTCCCCGGGAAGATTTTGCAAGATTACGTCGAGCCTGATTTATTCCCCGGGTTTATTACACCCCCTTTCTCTACAATTCCAGTTCCGTTCCTCTTCTTATATTGCATTTATTTGACTGTTTTTGCCTCGCTGCTTTTCATTTCTCAAGTCTCTACTTTTTTCCAGCGGAAAGTTGAGAGTAATGAAAATTTCATGTCTTCCAAAATATTTTGAGGAGAATGTGCATTAATAATTTTATATATCATTGCCTGAACCAATTTGTACTTAAAATTAGTAATTCAATGTCGTAATAAAGTCTCAAAAAAATTTACAGTAATTTCTGCAAAAAAGGTGGATTCACTTTATCTCGTCAAGTAAATTCAAATTATTCAACTCGTCATAAAAAAAAGTAGATGCATTGAATGAATTAATACGGTAACGGAGAATTCTACCTCAAATTGAATCTTTCAATGTAAGACTTAGAGGGAAGAATAGTATGAGACTCGGATTATTTCAAATGATATGATTTCCAACGAAAAGTAGATGTGATCCAACCTTTCTCATAGTTACGCACACAAGGCGGATGTTACAAGAATGCAAAAGAATTGGAAAAGACCTTGGCTTTCGATACACACATTGAATAAGAAAATCGTAACATAACAGGGGAGGAGTACACCGGGCTTTCCGAAGACGGGGTATAAGGAAATAGGTCCGAGGGGTTGTATTATGTCCAACTGCTCGAGTATCTACATGCTCCGCTTTTTCCTCTTTTCCGTTCTTCAACAAATGGATACTGAAAGATGTGGCAGACCAGAAAAAAAGAGATTTCGCTCGGGTGAAGAGATGGATTGAAAAAAATGAGGGTTCGACAGGTAGAGATTGTGCAAGTTCCGTTTCTGAAAAAAATGTCTTTAATGCTTCGATGATTTCGACTGAACAGATACATGGCAATTTGAGTGTCACGTTGAGACAACGAAAAAGTTATGGAAAACATGGTTAAATGGGTCTAAATTACTCAAAAAATGCACGCAATTACGACTAATCAGCTCTATTTTTCATGGGAATGACAGCTCTCAATAGAAAGATCGATCGACATCTTGTGGCCAGTCTGGGCTTCGGAAAATTTACATGTAAAATTGTATGAAAATTATAAATAATTGTAAACTCGTCTGCAGTCAATATCAGTGACGACGCGATGAAGTTCCTTTCCGATGAGCAGAACTCTCAGCATCGCTCCCGCCCATCCGTGGGAACACATCCCCTCTGTACTTGAGATAGCAGCAGCAACTTACAGGCAGCATGATGATACCCTCTGCCAGTTCACCATTCTTAACGCCTAGTGCTTGCCGCGTAATGTGTTGCTGTTTGCACACTGTATCGTATCCCGACGAGGCTGCAGCATGATCCACAATCTTGCAAGTGCTGTTTGGATTTCTGAAAAATTGCAAACTGTTGCCAACAGTTGATACTTCAATTAGCCCGGGCCAACTCAATTGTTTGCAACTTACATGCACTTCTCAATACGAAAGCCCTGTTGAAAATTCACTTCATTATCCTCTTTATACTCTGTATTTACGATGAACAACCATTCATCCTTGGTGGTTTTCGCTGCCTGTGGATAAACAATGGCAACCTCAATATCGCAGAGGGTCTCGTACTCAGACACTCCGATCCTCTGACCAACGTCGAAGGGAGGATCGACAGTGGCCAAATGTTTGAATTCATTCTGTCTGGCTTTGAGAGCATTCATTATAAACTCTTTCGGATAATTAGGCACATTTTCGCAGTACGTAGAGTCAGAACACACAGCTGTCAGATCCGGAGACATCCTGGAGGCTAGTTTGGAAGCCTCGGGATCCCCCGGGAAAATTATTCTGCCTCCTGTGGGTGTCCGTTGTGTTGGTGCGCCTGGAAATGAAATTATTATTTCATTAGTCCTTGCACTGCAACAGTTTTCGATGGGAATTCAGCCCCGAGTGAGTTACCTAACGGTCGAAGACGAGCTCTGGGCGTATGTGCTTCCCGCGTGGATGACCCATCGTACTCAGACTCAGGTAAATTCGATGCGCCATCAGGAAAAGTTTGTGATATCGCAGGAGAAATCTGTTGGGAATAACAATGGATTATAAAACCACAAGGACGTCAGAATATATAGACCGATGACGTCTTCAACTTGGTGAATCACTGGATATTTCAGTGGTGGAGCGGTCAGTTCAACTCATCGAAGGAGATTTTTTGTATATTTTTCGATTGACGGAAGAGCTGGGCACGATATTATTTAGAATAATTTATCGATTTTTATTCATTTTATTATTTGAAAATTTTCCTTTCAACTGGAGAACACTAGGGCAGACACAACAATTAAGATCGGGATAGAAGAAGATATAAAACAAATAATCAACAAAATAATTATCATATGACAGGCATAAATTTTTCATGACGCAGTGACTTAAATAGTGAAAGAAATTAGTCAATACTATTTGATCGTTTGAAATGCTCAACTTGAAATAGCATTTCTATTTGATTTCCACGAAATGGTGCCCAGTGTTGATTGAAGAGTTTTCCAATTTTCCCTCATAACAACAGAGAAGAGCGTTAAATGATCGTTCAATTCACCTTGGCCAGCCGAAATGAGATGGAATGTTTAGATTATGTTCCAGGGACAAAACTATAATCTCGCCTCTGTCGAGTCGAATTCGGGGATTTCATAAAAATGTGGGTCTGGACGATATTTCTATGATAATTACTATCAGCTCAACTCGTTGACGAAGCAAAGTTCAAGATACGAACATCCGTATGACCGTTCAAATTTCCGTTTTATCAAACAACGCCAGGCGCAACGGTTAATTTATAATGAAAATATCAACTCTCGAATGTTTGACCTTCCTGACTCTCTACAACCGATATTTCAAGGTCTGCTCAGCTGTCACATACGTATTTCGTGAGAAATGACGAAAAAAGTTGAGTAATTAGATATTTTACAATGCGCTAACTTCCTCAATTATCACTCATCTTCTCATTATATCGAGTTTAAAATAGAGAATAACTGCTACTCCCATTGGATAAACGGTTCTGTAATACGCGGTAGGAATAATTATTGAGTATATCTGTCGGCAATAGGTGCATTGTAGTAGCCCTGCACGGAGAGAAATTGTTTATAAAAATTTGAGCTCTTCTGTTGGAAAAAATTGCAATAGACTGTGAAAAATCCGAGGGCTGTTCAAAATTTCCTGGGGTTTCCGTAAAAAATTCATATCAATATGAGAAAAATTCACGTGGCCCCTTCTCTGAAGAATTTTTCTCCGCGTGTGATGAATTAGAAGATCAACTTACACAAAAAATTAACGAGATGAATAGTATTCTATCCACAGTGCACATAACGAGTTCGATTTCGGCTGAATTATTCAACTAAAACTTTTTAACTGCCAGTCACTTGTCCCTTTGGAACGTCAACCCAATCACTAACGCTGGAGAAAATTATCTGTGAAACACGGATCCAACGTCCATTTCACAAAACGTAGCAGAATTTATATTGACCGTCATTTATTTTTAAAAACCAAACAACTTGGATGTGAAACACGTTCTCCGCGACCGTCCGGTAAAACCTGCTTGGAGATGTAACTCAAACACTCTGGAGTGAATCAAGTAAAACTTATGCAAGATTATCACAGGACGGTTTACTCAATGTCAAGTGGTGGGGAGGGAAAGGAGAAAAAGAGGAATGACGGAGAGCTGCGGACGTGCGATGCTGTCATTCACCTCTTCCTTTTAAACAAAAATTGGGAGTCAACTACAATAATTTAGAATTCCCGTGGTAAACTGGAATTTGCGGTATGAAAATGCGACAGACGTGCATCGCGTTGATTCATTTGATTAGCGCTCGGGGGAAATCGATCCCAGACATGTGATAATGAACTATCACCTGTTTTCATCGATAATCAATCAAATGTAGATGAATTTTTTCGCTCTGAAAATCGAATAACTGAGAAAAGAATAATTGATAGATGCCGACTCCTCAGCCTTGCAGATGAATATCTCTTACATCCTTGTTATTCTTCAACTCGACCGTGTCTAATTTATTTTTAATTGTCCACATATTCATTTTGTAACTCACAAGGATTTATTACGTCTGCTGCATCGCCAGGACTGGGAAAATTCAGTCGGTAATGCAGTAAAAATGCGAGAGACTTTGTAAAACTTCATGTCATCAAGATAAATCACCGAACATGAGTAATTTGCCACTGAAAATAGAAAAAAAAGGAAGAAAGGCTAGCTCAATTTTGGCTTTCGGTAATTCCTGGAGAATCCAAATGGTTGAAGACAACGGTCCAGTGGCGAGCCCCCCAAGATGATGGACGGAGTAATGAGTGGGAGCGCCCGGTGGAAAATTCACTGGTGGGCAGACAAGCGAAAAAGAACAAGAGAGAAAGTACCTGAGAACGGGTGGATGAAGGGTGAGGCCCAACCAGGTTAATCCTTAGATTGGCTTTGGACTTTTTCCTCTGCTACCTGACTTCCAATGACTGACTGACCGATTGACTACGTTCAAGACTGGGGGAAACCTCCCAGGGAAGTTGGAGTTATTATCCCGGATTGAAATCTAACAAGCGGAACAGAAGTTCCTCCCGGTAATTGCGGGTTTTAACCCTTCAATCCATTAAAATAACCTGCATTTTTCCCCCCCTTATAATTCCAGGCAGAAAAAAAATTATAGAAAACAATAGCGAATTCGATTTTTAAAAAGTCAATCAACTATGCAACTTTTTCTATTGAAACATTTTTCGTAGGAATTCCCCGACATTAAATTTCTACGTCTTTTTTCTTCTTTTTTAATTAAAAACAAAATTTAAAACGTTGGGAAAATTTGAGCCGAAGAATTTGTATAAAAAAAACTTCAATGGAAAAATATAATTCTATTGATTTTTTCTATGGAATATTTTCGAAAAAAAACGCACAAAATTGTTCAGTAGAATCCGCCAGAATCAAATAGAAAATTCAATAGAATTCTCTCGCGAATTCGCTAGCATTTCTATAAAAAAATTTTGTACCTGTCGGAACAGACAATTTTTCGATCCACCGTCATTTGGGCGAATCGTGACCACGATTATCCACATTCTCAATCCCGCCTGCTGCTCGATCAAGAATCCCAGCGCACGAGCCCACAAAAGATCCACCGGGAGTGAAAAATATAAAGAAGGCGGAAAGGAGGAAAAAAACGGTCGCGCGACGCCACGCGCTCTTTATTTATTCCATACAGTGTCACGCACGTCGATCATCCCGATCGAGGAGAGGCTCTCTCCTTCCCCCCCAATTTCTTATGACAACGTGAATAAAGAATGGCAAGGGAACTGCACCCACCCTGGAAAAACTCTTGAGAATCCATGGAATATCTTGAGTGCAGCTGTCGCCCTCGCATGCACACATCGATTGTGTCGATTTCTCTTGAATTTTTACGCGTCACGTGATTCACCTATCGAACTTTGGCCAGTGTATCCATAGAGGCATTGAAAATAAATCATTTTGAATTTTGATTCCAATGAATTGAAATTTCCCTGTCTTCTAGAATATCTAAAGAATTCAACCATTTTTTCTCGTGAAAACCCATTTTAACCCGATTCAATTTTTCATTATTTAAATTGTTAAGGTCCGAATTGGATTCTCCATTTAAAATCTTTAGAAAAGAATTTTTCCAGAGGGATTTCTAAAATTACGTAAAAAATCAATTTACCATCTTGAAGATCAGGAAAATATTTTTAAAAATGTAATTTCTCGGCGAAATGTATTTTTTCAGAATTGTCTCAAACTATTCAATAAATTTATGATTCATATGAAATTACTACTTAAATAAAAAATATTGAATCCATAATTGTCTCAAGCACAGGGAATTATCCAAAATGTTGAGAAAAGGGGAATAACAATCCATTAATCACAAAAACACTTAAGGCACGAGAAAAAGGCGTGCGCCAAACAAAACGAAATTTACAATCAAAAGAAGCGAGCGGGAGTAGCTCCTAATGATTCTCGAGCCGGCTTGAATACTTTGCCACTGGGGTAAAAACCGCCAAAGCCACGTGGTCAAGCACCCCGAGTGGCCATTGTCTATGAATCTGCTAAGCTGGTACCTCAACAACCGAACAATAAAGAATTCCAGAGGATGAATAATGAAATTTTTTTTTCGCGATTACAGACCGTTTCACTAAATTAGCATCCCTTGTTCCCTCCATTTTCCATTCTTCTTTGGAATTATCTCCATCTGGTCAAAAGAATCGTCTAAATTATCAGTACAAATCCCAGCGATATCAACGTCCAGAAAAAAAAACAAATGGATAAAATTCCAATAAATTACCAAAAAAAACAAAAAAAAATTGAAGATGAAAAAAATCTGCAGGTGCACGTCTGAAGTTCACGTAATCTTCTATAAAACTTCAGAAATAGAGAAACGTTAAACTACGATATATAAAGGGATGTGCCGGGTGCGTGGGTTGCGCAAAGGCTTTTCCAGGAAGGCACAAAAGTTTCAATATATCAAGTGCAGTTCTTTTTTCCGTCCTCGAGACGGAGATCCGGTGAATAAAAAAATAAAATGGAGAAAGAGGGGGAGGATAAAAAGAATGTTAGTCACAACGATAGAGAAGAGGTATATGTAGGAAAGGGAGGTTTAGGTATGCACTTGGATCTTCAATGGGGGTGGGGTAGCAACAATGACGGAGATCTCCGGGCTCCACACATCAATATCCCCCGGTTACCATGGATTTCTAACCGATACAAATAACGTCAATTTTTATTGATTCTCATTTTTCAAAATCACGTCAATTTTTTTCACGACATGATCTTGCTGTTCTACTGTATTATATATAGACTCTTCTATTATGAGCAAATTTAAATCCATTAAAGAGCAATGAAATTATACAAATGAGGAAAGACAGTTTTTAGTTCACTTCGTCTTGAATTTAAAAAAAAAAACAAAAAAATCAAAACAAATTCCCAACAGCAACTACAACTGTAAAATTCCTCTGAAAAGCTTCCGCGTGCCTGCGTTAATCTCCAGCGTCGCCCTGAGATTCAAAGGGAATAAAAGAAAAAAAGGTAAAAAAAAGGAGAAAAAAACGAAGAATAAGAAAAGTCAACCCCTCTAGCATTCCAATGCGGGCCATAAAAATGTTACGAGTACACCCCCATACAGTGGCTGTCGCTGTTGGTTATAATCGAAGATTAATCGTCGTCTCGATCGGCAAAGTGGTGAACTACAAGGACGTACCGAGAAAAAATCCGAAGGTGAAGGAGAGAGGAGAATGAAAAACCATAAAAAGAAGAGCATTTGTGAAAGGAGATCTGGCAGGTTGGCTTGGACTCGCTCGTTTTCCATTTCCATAGTTTCCATTGTGCTCACAGTGACAATTACTCTGAGATTAGAGTGAGAATTTGCGAGACACTGTTGTAGGTGAGAATAGAAGAAGGAAAAGAGGCAAGTGAATGGGATCTTCACATTTACGATCTACTCTGGAACCATTCACACATCTCGTGAAATATCGTCTTAATACGATGGAATTGTCAAGAGAGTTAATGGTGTGGTTGACAATACAGTGAGATTGATTTTTTATTTACTTCGTGTCATGAACCAATTTTGGTTATTCTACTGAGAACGTAGAGAGGAAAAACTCTCTGTTTTCAAATATGCCCCACACATGCTCTCTAAACGTCGTCCTTGAAACTAGATAAATGGGTAAAAGTTGAAAGCATCTCCACAAACACGTAACTCCGATGTCCGACCGGATGCAGGCGCGCCACACATTGACCATCCACGGAAAAATCCGAAAATCGCCTGCTGTGCATTTCGAACAAATGTCACAAGTGTAGGAGACAAAAAAAGGATCCAAAGGAGAGACAAAAACAGGGACAGGGACAGGAAATGCACGGGGTGTAAATCAGCATGCTTCGACATAAACCACATGTTCTCGTGTATTACTGCCAAATTCAATCATTTGATCAAGCATTCTCCCCAATTGGAAACGAGTATTCAACGTTAATACAAAATTTTCTACTTTTCTACTTTTGTCCATTTGACCCTAAATTTGCGCACATTTTACAATGATTTTATTATTTAAACTTTGCAGGTATCAATTTAAATCTCGATATTGGAACGTTAGAATATTTTTCTTGTCATATGAAAAATTATCTGTCATTCCTGTAGAATGAAAATTGGTGAAAATATAAAGCATTGAAGCATTGAGGCATTGTATACCTCACATAATATGATGCATCTAGAAATCGTTCAATCTCATCTGAAGCTTCAAATTTGACGGATCCATTATGATCTCAGGTGACACCATTAGACCATTATCCAGTGTCTCTTATCCGTTTCTTTACGTTCAAGGAAGCCCATCCAAACGTCACCCCCTTCACTCGGTCAATTCCACTCTATCCTCTTCATTCTCAGCAGCCCCTCAATCTTCCTAGCATGCACAAGAGCCTCCATTATTTACCCTCTGAATCTTCCCTCGACTGCCGTTACACTTGGCGATGAGATCATTTCTCCATACACCAACTTTTAAATATGTTATAAATTTCATGAATATTTAAGGACACTTCCATGCCAGTCCACTGATGGAATGTGAATTTTCG